GAGTCCACCTGGGACCCACAGCTCTGAGCCCTTCCTGTCCTAGGGATTCTTACAGATGTACTCACGCTGAAAATGTGCTACTTGCAGTGAAGGGACCGTAAACATGATGTCCGCCATCAACTCTCTGAACTGTGCTTGCAGGGTCTGGGCATCCTCAACACCCCCCATGTACTCTTCCATTAACAGGTCACTACACTCAGGAGGCAGCAGCTACAGCAGGAGGAATCAGGAAGACAGATGTAAGGCAAGTCCTTGGATAGGTGGGCAGCAGCCTCCAAATAAGGAATGTGGCCAGGGATGAGACAGGGTATAGGCAGAAAGGTATAAGCATTGGGTGAGCCCACATAGAAACACACACACACACACACACACACACACACACACACACACACCTTTATTTCATGCATGGCAACCGATAAGCATATATGGGAACCCTCTCTATCAGGACAGGAGCCAAGGTCTCTCACCATCTGTGCTACTGTGCTCTTCAGAACAGCTGGCAGGGTCTCTCGGGTTATGTTCTTTATGACAGGATCAAGGCCCATGTACTGGAAGGTAGAGGAGAGTCTTAAGTATAGCATGGGTTGTCTCTAGATCAAAGTATCTCTGAGATCCTACCACCCCCTCCCCATTTGAGCTTAAGTTCCCAGGGGCTTAAAACAAGGTCTCACCATGGGGAGTCCCCAGCCAAGTTCGTCACTGTTGATACCAATGATGCTGGGGACAGGGTAAAAATCCCCAGAGGCCAACAACTCCTGAGGGTGCCTTGGTAGGAACGTCCCATCCACCACAATGGGGATTATAGTGAAGACCTATGAGGAATTAAGGGTCAGTACCGAAGATCAACCACATAAATATTCTGATGCCCACACTATTTTCCCATTTCCTATAGCACCTCAGGAGGCAATATTCACTCTGGAAGAAACCAGACATCAAAATTAGCCTGTTTTTTCATTTTTCACACAGTACCAAAAGGACACCAAACCATGCAGGCCAGATTTAACTAGTTCCAGTAGTAAGTACTGACAATCCCAAATCTTGGTGACCAGATCTTCAAAGCCACACAATTTTCTCAACCTGGTTGATAGCCAGAATCTCTGCTTCACTCTTGTCTCGTAGGCAGAGTACCATGGCCTCTGGGTCCACGGTTTTACATCCAGATACGTTGGCCACTTTCTACAAATGGAAGAGGTGATGGTTAGCTCATTTCTTCCATCAAAGAGCAGAGTTTCCTTGTTCCTGCCTGAGATTCCACTCTGACTTTCCTTCAAGTTGGACTATAAACTGTAAGCTAAAATTAACCCCTTTTATCCCAAAGATCATGGTCTTTGTCACAGTAATAATAACAGGCAAACTAGGAAATCATGCAAATGAGTTTTGCCAAAGGTAGAAGCCACTGGACACAGCTTTTCTGTTGAATGTCGTGATCAGCATACATAAAACAGAGAGGGATGGATTGTAAATTTTATGCCTCTCAAAAATTATTGGAAAGAAGCTATTTCCCGTGATCATTGTTTTTCTCACTTAAGAGATGAACGGAGTACCAGAGGCAAGGATTGAAGCAGCAAAGTAGAGACTGATATAGATGAGGGCACTCACTGTGTGGACCAACTCTGATGTGTCAGAGGTAATAAAGTCAGGCACCAGGGCCACTCCACTCTGCATGATGGCTCCGTGGAAGAGTCCTTTGGACATGGGGGACAGAACATGTGAAGACACACTTGTTCCTCCTGCTGAAGCGCCAAAAATGGTGACCTGGCCAGGGTTGCCTCCAAAGTAGGCGATGTTCTGCTGGACCCAGCGTAGGGCAGCCACTTGGTCCAGGTAGCCCCAGTTGCCTGTGGCGTGCTGGTCTCCAGTGCTGAGAGGTGGCAGAAACAGGAATCACAGATCTGTCCATGTTCTACTCAGACCCCACTGTCCAGCCCAGTTCCAGGCTCACCTGAAGAAGCCGAGGATACCCAAGCGATACTGGATAGCAACCATTATTATATCCTCAGTAGCAGCCAGTATGGATCCATCATTCATAGAAGCCGTTCCCACTACCAGTCCACCACCATGGATCCAAACCATCACCTGAAGACATCAACACAAATCTCAGGAGGCACCACCAGCCCACAGTCAACTAGACTACATACTAGATTGTCAACTGTTTTGCCTCTGTGCAAGATGACTTACACACAGATCTCCTCAGGATTTGGGGACATGGTCCACAGATACGGTACTCTAGGCCTGTAAGCATATTACCATTCCCAATTCCTCATCAGGAAAACTTAGCATAGATTAATGGCTTTAGATCACAAGTAATGTCATCATCACTCTTAGACTCATCAAAGTGGAGCAAACAGGAGTGTCTCCATATGTGACTTTCCTGGTTGCTAATCAGAAGGAACACCAGACACCACTAGCACAACAGATAACATGAAGCTAGGAATTTTGGTGATGTCATTATGCAGCCCTTGAGCCCCCTCCTGAGTGGGTCAGCCAGGATAAAGTTGGTAGAAGAAATTCCGGTTTAATCAAAGACCTAGAGCCTCTTACCCCTCAGAGCCCCAGAACTCTGAGTCCTACACCCAGGTTTAAGCAGCTCAGCATGGCTGAGATGACCTCCTTCTTGATCCCAATGAGGTAAGAATATCTATCAGGGTATAAACTAGAGTACAGTTCAGAATTACTGTGTCCCTTCCAATCTTCCAGAGAAAGAAACATCCTCCTCCCCAGCTGACGATACCCTGACACTCACAGGTAAGTTAGAACCTTCATGGGCATGCGCTGGTGTGTAGATGTTGAGATACAGGCAGTCCTCAGACATAGAGATGCGATCCTTAGCTCCCCCTATAGTCTGTAGACACCTGGAGAACACGGAAAACAGTTCAACACGTGTGATATCAAATCTAAATCTTCGTCTGAATTGTCTCTCAGGCACCTTCAGCTACTGCTTTCCATGATTTCCTGCGAACATCTGACCCCTCTCTGAAGTCCCTTCCTACCAAGGTAAAGGCCACCAGCTCTGTGGCAATGGGGATGGAGCAGTACTTTTAGGGAGGCCTCTGGTTGGGTAGTAGCGCCCTGAGGGCTAGAATATGGGGACTGTTGCCATCCTCTATGAGATGGTCACCTTCCTGTACTGACTTTCATCCCTTCTGTGCTACTTAAATCCTGGTATGGGGGTTGGTTTTGACTGGATGACTAACACAAAGTGGAATCACCTGGGAAAATAATCTTAACGAGAAATTGTCTAGATCAGCCATTCTCAACCATATTTATGCTGTGAGACTTTATTAGAGTTCCTCATTTTATGACCAACCATACAATCATCTTGCTGCTACTTCATAAATGTAATTTTGCTACTGTTATGAACATTAATGTGAATATCTTATACAAAGGATATTTGATATGCAAGCCCTTGTGGGGGTTGCAACCAACAGGATGAGAACCACTTGTCTAGATCCTGTTTGCCTGCGGGCAGGCCCATTGCAAATTATCTGATTAAATTGATTGACGGAGAAACACCTGCTCGTTGTAGGAGGCACCAGTGCCTGGGAAGGGGCTTCAGAATTGTTTAGGAGTCGGGAGAGTGAACGAAGCATTAGCAGCCATGCATGTGACCTATAGGCTCAGTTTCTGATTAGGAGTGGGATACGAGCAGTCCTCTTAAACTTCTGCCCTGTGGTTTCCATCCATGGATAATTATTTCCTGGAATTGTGGCCCATAGTAAAATCTTCCCTCACTGCATTGTTTATGTCAGGGTCCTCGATCACAGCAACACAAAACAGAGAAACTCGGGTGTTGGGGCTCTGAGCCCACATAGGTTCTATAGGGAAGGACAGACAATAGCATAGGGTAGTGAGATATTCTTCATCTTATCCCAAACTCTAAAGACACCTTCTTCTTCCACATAGTCTCCAGTGAAAAGCAGGTGTACCTGTTCCTTAGCCAATGGCACCTGGACAGTGGATGGTCACAGTGACCGGGAAGAATGGCCTTAGTCTCTGCTCCTCACTGCAGTACCTGCAGTTAAGTCCCTACAGGTGCCAAGCTCTGACCCAGGAGCCTGGCACCATTGTTCCTCTCTAATCCTTAGCACATTCCTCTGAAACCTGCATGGAGATGCCCTCAGGACAGACAGAACACTGCTAAAGAGCTGAGATGGAGGAAGCACAGCAGTGTGGCCCAGAGCTCAGTCCTGATGTTCCCTGGGCCCCAGAACTTACATGGCCGGATGAGAGGTCCCATCTCTCACACCACTCCATGGCTCAGGGGGCTCCGGGGGAGCAAAGCGCAGTGGTCCCACAGGTGGCTTGGCAAAGGGAATCCCCAGGAAGGTGTGGACACCAACATCGCTGTCTTTCACATGGACGAGGCTTCCTCTCACCTGCCCTGTGTGTGTGTTCCTGATGGGGCTGGCTGAGTCCTGTCCTGTAGGTGGAGAGATGTCATCGGTTGTCACCGCACTGGGGAATTCCTACCTCGTTGTCATAGAGTTAGACAGGAAGATAGCTTGGGTCCTCTCAGTTCAGCTGTGCCTTGTGAAGATGACGCCTTCTGGATTACCTGGTGCTGGAAACCTTGTCCATTGGCCCTCTTAAAACTTGACAGGACCCTTCTCTAGTCATCAAGGTGGCAGGCTCAGAGCCACTTGGCTTTATGAAGGAATTCTTGTCATTACCCACATACACTAGGAGCTCTACCACAACCACATACAGAGGAAGACATGTCTCTCCTATACTTCGGTCCCAGCTGGCTCCTCAGTACATGGTAACCTTACACATCTCTGACCCTCCTGTGCCACAGGGCCCATCCTGTGGGCTTTGGTGTGGGCATTAGAAGGCTCACAAATCCACACTGTCGTCTGTCGTCTCCACAACTCCTCCCTCCCTGGTGTTTCCCTCCCACAAGCCACAGACTCTGACTCTGCAGAACTGGGATAGCTCTGACCCTGGTCCCTCTGCTCACTTAGACATTCTCACCATGCACGTGGAGGAGGAGAAGCAGGAGCCCACAGGCCACAGCAAACAGCCAGCCAGAAAGTCTACCGAGTGGCATGTTGAATGCCAGGGCTAAGTCTGTGCTGCTACAAGATGACAGTCCCACAACAAGCGGGAAGCAGAACAGGTAGGTCTTGAGCAAGCAGGAGTTTGTAACTTTAGGGGTGTCGATGTAAAAATTGATTGAGTGGGACAAAGTTCTTATTGCAGGAAAACTGATCAAAACCCAGAAGCCACAGGGAGCCAATAGTCAACAGGAGGACAATGCATCTAGTAGACGATGCTGAGGACGTCACCGGCGGAGGATGGGATGCGGCTCTGGGAAAGGTGACAGGGGTCAAAGAGAACTGCATTGAGCATGCCCGCCACCCCGAAAACTGCTCCCTGCTCCCAGGACTTACAGTTTCCCGAGTCCACATTCAGGGTCCCTCATGCCTTACAGTAGTGATTTTAAGTCTAACATCACCCTCCCTGTTCCAAGATAGCTGTTTCATTGAAACACACTGCAAACCTGGCACCTCTGAAGGACCTACCCCTACCCACTCCACCTCCATACTGCATTATTCTCATGGCCAGCTCCTACAGCGATCAAGTTCATGGTCCTTTACCTACTCAGCAAATGTTTAATGGGGAAATTCTGGTTCTAATGTCTAGGACTAGTGTCTAAGGCATTGTATGTTTTCAGATCTTATAATACAGGTTTATGAGTAGGAACTTCAGAATCATTAAGAACCCTGAAGTTTACATCCAGCAGTAGAGGATCAGGAGCTGCTCCCACCCAGCTCAGCCTGAGTTTGTGGAGGGTGTGGTGTAGGGATCAGTGTCAGACAGTCTGGGGTACCAACTGAGGATTGGTTTTGCCTACATCTTTCAAGTTCCCGGTAGTCTTGGGCACCCACAGCCTGGCACAGCAGAACTTCCTCCTTCCTCCTAGCATGGAACAGCCATGGCTTCTCTTGCCCCCTCCAATCTGTAGCACCAGGCCTTGCTGGTAGAACTTTTCTTTACTTGATTTTTTCTGACCCAGGTAATTGGTGGACTGTAGGACTGAGAGATACCCTGAGAGATGCTCCAATCCCTGAATGAAGGCACCAACTCCTGCATCTTCTGGGTATCCTGGTACTTCTTTCAAAACTGGACTCTGGCATCATGACTAACTGAAATGTCATCCACCACTCACAGAACATCATTCATTGATGATTTCCTGAGATAAAAACTTCCTTCTTGTGTTTTTGTGTTTATGGAGTAGTTGTGAAATTTTCCATATACATACATGCAATAGGTAATATTTAATTTGCACATATAGCGGGTGAACACTTTTTTGGCAAACTTGATCACAGATACGGGACCTTTAGGTGCTTGTTCTGAAAACATCAATGCCTCATATTTATATTCTGAAGCCCAGTGTCCAATGTGATGATATTATGATTTGGGACCTTTAGTCAGTGGTCATGTCATGAACACCATTGCCTCTTCTGTTTAGGGACCACAGAGCAACAACATTTGAGCAATGAGTTAGCCCTCACCACATAGCAAATCTGCGGGTATCATAACCCTGAACTTCATGATCACCAAACTTGGGGAAGTTTTCTGTTTGTCAGCCACACATTATGGTCCACACTCACTGTGTTTTATTATACTCGTGTGTATTTAGCTGCAGTGTCCTATGGAACAGAGTTACTCTGGAGCTCAGGAAATCTTCCTGCCTCAGTCTCCCTAGTGTTTTGGGACTACAAACACCACAGCACTGAGATTGTAGCTAATGATAACTTGCTTATGGTATTTATAATTTACTAAGTCAATGGGGCTTTCGTTAATGAGGTAGGTTTTCTTCCTGCCACATATAGATATGAGAAATAGGGATTTGACAGGTTGACAGGGAACTTTGACCCACACACCTCTGGTGTAGGCAATATTCTCTGAAGCTTCTGATACATGTGAAGAGGTTTTGGAGTTGGAGAAAGGAGAAAGAGGAAAGGGAGAAAATGAGGTAAAGAAGAGGACTGGAGTGATAATTCAGCAGTTAAAAACTTTAGCAGCTCTTCCAGAGGTCCTGAGTTCAATTTCCAGCAACCACACAGTGGCTCACAACCATCTATAATGGAATATGATGCTCTCCTCTTTTGGCATATAGTCTCTATGTGCAGATAGAGCACCATACATATAAAATAAATAAATCTTATTTTAAAAGTGAGGTGAAGAAGGGAGGAAGAGATGCAGGTACAGTGGGGCATGAAGGAAGCCTGGCATCCATTGGTGCTCACATGAATACACTGTCATGAGGGAGTTCATTGAAAAAAGACAGGACTCAGGCATTCTTGGGAACAAATGGTGTGCATCAGTGCTGGCTAAACAGGTAGATGAGGAATGGATACATAGATACATGAAAGATACAGTTGGCCTTGTGTCTTCAAAGCATGGGCAAATCAGGCTGAACCCATTTGTGGTCGTGATACTGGAAAACCCCCCCCCCAGCATGCTATTGACCCATTTGTTTCTCCTCAGTTCTGTCCAGCTCATATCTGTTCTGAGGCCACCTTTACAAATAACATCTTCCAACCTTCAGTACATTGCTCCGGGCAAATTGGATGTGGGCCTGGCCTTTCTCGGAATTCCTTTGCGTGAAATTACCCAAAACCTTGTACACATTCCCATGATGGGGGTCACTCTGAAGCCTCCTGTGTCCAGGACTCTAGACACAGAGTAATCTCTGTCCTTCCACATGACTTTTAACTCTCATTCTGAGTGTCCAACCCATTCTTCTGCTCCTTGTCATGTCCCGTGTGCTCGATTATCTCTTCCTCTCTCTGCCCAGAATTCCCGCCTATTTCTCCTGCCTAGCTACTGACCTCGGCTCTTTATTACACCAGTCACAGAAATACCTCTTCACTGTGTACAAATAACTTACAGCACTGGCCAGTTCCCTGCTTTCGTACACTATGACTGGTGAAGAAGCCCGAGGGGTTGGAGACAAATAGGGCTGTGTAGGAGGATAAGGCCTACAAGGCCAGAGATGAACCAACCTGCTAGAGTCTGCCTGAGACCCTAGCACCAGGCACTGTCAGAGGTCCTGATCGTGCCTAACCAATGAGGGACCTGAATCCAGTGTCTGTGCCGCTGATGCTGCACCTTCTCGCCTCCTCCCCGGAGGGAACTGCTAGAACCCAGTAACAGGGCTGGTGTCCCGATCTGTGCAAGGGGCAGGACTAGCTGTACTGCTTTTTGTCCTCTCAGTGTCAGGCTCGCCTACACAAAATCAGTGTGGGTATTTGCACTTTGGGAATCCTACCCATCAACACTGGAAAATGCATAGTGATTGACAGCCCAAAATAAGCACTGTGTGAATGTGATCTGGTCTTGGGGAATATGGTTTCATGTGACTATGGAGATTTTGTGTGTGTGTGTGTGTGTGTGTGTGTGTGTGTGTGGTGCATATGAGGCTAACACAGACCAGGGAAGCCAGGGGGAAGTTAAGGGAACAAGGAAGCACGGAGAAGTTATCCCATGTCATGTGTAGTTGACCCAGTATGTAATCACCTTCCTGCTCAGAAGTTCCTCTTGCTCGGGGAGATCAACAATAATCAGAAATAAAACAGGGTTCATGCTCAGTCCACTCTATTTGTTCCCCCTCATACTCTCCACTCACCATCCTAACGCTGTTCTGGTTCCAACTAAGCCATCTTACAGGCTCTAGGCTCTCCCCTTGTCCGTTCTGCCTTTATCCATTCCAGTCTGTAACTGATTCTTCCCTAGGCTTCGATATTACCTGGAGGAACATTCTTCATTCCCTCTGACACAGCGAAGTAACTTAGAAAAATATAATGCCTACAAACCGACATTTTAATCTTAGGTCTTACAGCACTGCCATGGTGGGGACAGGAAAGAGGAACCCACTGTGGACTGTATTTTTGGGGGGCCTTCTAGGACCTCTGTGATCTGTTTCTGGGGAGGAATCTCATACTTGGAGCTAGGAAGTATGTGCTGTAATCCACTGTTTCTGGGAGTCGCCCTCTAGACACAAAGGGCAATACCTTTCAGGACCTCTTTTCTGTTTTTATTTAAGTTACAAGACAGTGGCTTCCATATTGCTTCTTTATATTCCCTTATCCCAGCTAACCCCCTCCCTTCCCAACCTTTTATCTCTTACCTCCCTACCTGCTTTAACCTTACCACCAACAGGATCCCCTCTCTACTTTTATTTTACTTCTGTTGCTCTATCACCCTTCCCTTAAGACACTCCCTCATGTCCCCTCCTAGCCTTATGACTTCCAGATGTCTTCCATGCTAAACAATAGAACTAAGGAGTCAAAGACAGAATTAACCTTACAGATAGTAATATGGTATTTGTCTTTCTGAGCCTGGGTTACCTCATTCAGTATAATTCAGTTCACCTCCTTGCAACTTTCATAATTGCAGTCATCTTTACAGCTGAATGAAATTCCACATTGAAGGTCAGATGGGGGATTCATGCCTTTAATCCCAGCAGTTAAGAGGCAGAGGAAGGTGAATCCCCGAGTTTCAGGACAGCCTGGTCTACATAGTGAGTTCTAAGACAGCCAGGGCTATAACAAGAAACTCTGGGTCAGGAGGAAAAGAAACACAGTATATAGGTATCATATTTTCATTATCCATTCATCATTTGATGGACATCTGAGCTGCTTCAATCCCTTAGTTTTTCTGGACATGAATACACAGTAATCTTTATAAAGGATATAGAGCCCACGAGTGATATATCTAGATCACACAGTAGTTTATATTTTAGTCCTTTAAAAAAACATCCAGTCTGACCTCCAGAATTGCTGTACCAGTTTGAAATCCTAATGGTACTGAGTAAGGATTCCTCTTCCCCCACATCTGCATCTCTATTTGTTGCTAATTGTATACTTGATGATAGCCATCCTGACCAGGGCAAAATGATTATCTTCCTTATGGTTTCTATTGCTGTGAAGAGACACCATGACCAAGGCAACTCTTACAGAGAAAACATTGAACTCAGTGACTTGCTTACAGTTCAGAGGTTCAGTCCATTGTCATCATGGTGGGGAGCATGATGGCATATAGACAGTCAGGTTGCTGCATACATCTTCATTGAAGACAACAAGAAGTGGATTGACCCACTAGGCATAGGTTGCCACATGAGACCTCAAAATCACACCTACTGCAACAAAGATACATCTCCCAATCGTGCCACTCAGTTTCGGAACATTTTTTTCAAAATACCACATTTCCCTCCTGGCCGCCAAAGACTTAGAACCATATCATGATGTTTTTATGCATTTAGTCCAACTTCAAAAGTCCACATAGAAAATCACAGTCTCAACAAACCTTCAAAAGTCCAAAGTTCAAAGTCTCTATTGAGATTTATGCAATCTCTTAACTGTAATTCCCTATAAAATCAAAATAAAGAAAACAGATTACATCACTGTTTCAAAACATATTGCAAAAGAGCATGGCAAGGAAATACTGAACCAAAGCAAGACCAAAAACTAGCTGGGCAGCTCCAAACTCTATATCTTCGTGTCTGATGTCAAAATGCTCTTCAGATCCCCAACTCCTTTCAGCTTTGTTGACTACAACACAATTCTCTCTGTTGGACTGGTTCTGCTCCCTGTTAGTAACTTTCCTCGGGAGGCGACACATGGGTCTATCAGCTTCAAAATCTTGTGGTCTCCACAGCAATCCAGCCTTCAACTTCAGAGCTTCACACAATGTCCTCTCTGGGTCTTTCATGAACATCCCTAACACATGCCTGGCCTCGATAGCTTTCTTTAGTCACTGAGCCAATTTTATAACATCTCTCTTTTATCCATAACTCTAGAACCACGTGGACCAAAGCTGACAAGTTGTACTGCTTACTGTGCCTGAAACATGGCCCCCTTGCTTAAGTATATCTTCACCACCTTTGTTTTCCTTCACTGACTAAGCTTGGCTGTCCTTGAATTTACACTGTAGAACAGGTTGGCGTCAAACTCAGAGATCCACCAGCCACTGCTTTCGGAGTGTTGAGATTAAAGGCGTGTCCCACAACACTTGGTTCTAAACTTTTCTTTAATTCCTCTTCACAAGTTTGAAAGTTAGCTGGGTAGAATCTTGCCCTGAGGTCATCACTCCCTTCATTCAATTTCTTAATTTGTTTATCTCCTTGTACACAGGACTTAACTCCTTTCCACTTCCTGGTGCCTGTTATTTCAACCTGTACATTTTGTGCTTTTATTTACTCAAACTACTCCTTTTCATT